GAAAATTTTGTATTGGGTATTGGAGTTACCCCTAATTTTTGCCAAAATTTCTTGAAATTATTTTTATACTACCTTCTCCAATTTTCATTGAAATTTCTGCAAAATTTCAGAATGATTCTTATTGCAGCAAAAGGTGTAATAAATGTATGCCGTGGATCTTCGTATGGAAAAGACTCTTTATTTCTAAAGTAAAAATGTCAAAATTGTCATAAAATATTGAATGAATTCATCAACGTATTTGGTTCACAATTATTTGAATGTGTGCAATAGTGGTTGGAATACATATGTTTCTTTGTATGGTAATCTGAACAGTTTACATTTAATATCGTTAGGTCCACATTTTATTATTCTTCCCTCTTCAGAATTAGAAATAAAAATGCTAATATGTTTAGAATGAAATGGATATTCAAAAAAATTGTCTTTGTTAGGTATTTCTTTGCCATATATAATTATTTCTTCATTACTTTGAACTACTTTTTCAAATTTTATTATTTTTTCGGCCGATTTCAATAAAAACCAGCTGTCTGCAATTTTGCGCGAGGAAAGCTGATAATCATTGAACATTATTGTTTGAAAACCATCAGAGGATGGAAATTTTAATTCTATTCCATTTCTTGGGTGTCCTTTTGTGATATGAAGGTGATCTAATTCAAATGATCTTTTAGCAAACTGTTGTAATGGACTGTGATACGCTCGAATCTTTCGCTTTATTTTTCCCAGATAGTTTTCAAATGGATAGGTTGATATTGAATCAATATTGCCAAAACGTTTTAAATCGGCCGAAATGTGACACAAATTATGTACATTACTTGTGATAGTGTGGTTCCCATAAACGTTTATATAACTTTGTATAAAGTCGGTTAGTAATTTTTCGATTAGAACTATTCGGTTGTTTACGTTCAAATACATGTCAACAGAACAAAGTTTAATGGCGCAACATAAACTCAAAAACATTTCATATTCTGCGTGGGGAATAATATCCTCCAAAATTATCAAACCAACATACAAAAGAATCGTTCTTTGTTCAGTTGCTTTCCAGCGCGCAAAATTACGTATCGTTCCAACCGGCCGATTTATTTCCGTTGGCTTATTTTCGTTAGCTGCCCTTAGCAAATCGTCTAATTGTGCAATTTTTTGATTAGTAAATATTTTTTTATAACTTTTTAGTTCCATATAGCCAACGAGATAACATACGTTTCATAACACCAATATCGAGTAAATGCAATGGATCGCTGAGAGGCATGTCGAAGATTAAATCAAAATTCAATATTTCTTCAATAACTGAATACTTCAAATGATGTGCAGGATCAGATCTGGATCGAAAATCAGCATCAGTCCTTAATGGGCTATTTAATATTGGAAATGACATAGTATTTCTTATACTTTTTCCACGAGTTATACATCTCTGGCAACCAGTATGATGGTTAAAATTTCTCACACCTGAAATTTAAGTACTTATCAAAACGGCCGAATATATGGAATGTACATAATGGATATAATATATCTAAATCTACCTTTTAAAAATACTCTAGCTGGCGTATCTGCAATTATACAACGTACTTTAATTGAAAAAAAGTAGCCTTTGATTTCCATTCCATTTAAAGTTAAATTATTAATTTCTTCTACAAATTTTGATAAATATCCGTTCACACAAGAAGGTTTGCCTTCTCCATACCACACAGCCGCAGCAAATGGTTCGATATTTGAGAGTCCTATTAAATTGATAATAATAGCAATAATTTAAATTATGTCGGCCGAATTATCATTTATTTTTATTTACGAACCATGAATTTGTATCAAAATTGGCCAGAATTGTTTACTCGAACTATTATAAATCTGTAGCCCATCAACATGAATATTAAGTTCCAAACCGACATTTTTATCGGGCGAATGAAACAATTTTCTCAATTTATTTTCTATGCCAGCGTACCAAAAACTTCCAGATGCAACAGGTTCAATCAAAATACTTTGAGGTGTTTTTAATAATGTCCTGGGATCTTTGGGTAAAAACTTCAGTCCGTGGCGTATCAAGATTTTTAACAAATCACCCAAAGAATTATGCCTGACATTGTATTTTAATGCCCACTCCCTTAGATGATGTGATACACTCGGCCGATCTTCTTCGTTTTCAAATGATGATTCCATCTCCAAAGCTGAATTAACTCTTGCGTTTTTAATTCGTTCATTGATTTTATTCATTTCCTTTCTAAATGTTCGTCCATATTTTTTACGATTTGATGCAAAATATCTTTTTCTATTTATATTATTAACATTCACCATTTTTTGAAAAATTGTTTAAAAACTCTGTTGTAATCGTATTCAATTAATGTTTTGATTTGTGCACATGTACATACGACTTGACAGCTCACGTCAAATTTGACAGTATGTATGTATATTGTATGTATTATTATTGAGGTTATGTAAATTGTAAACCATTTCAAGACAATCGGCTAATAGCGGCTAAGAGAATAAATACATTCTAGTCTACGAATTTAAAACAATTGTTTTAATAATAAATTTAAAATGGAGAAGCGATTGCGTACTCGAGTACGTCGAAATTCAAAACGTCGATCATTATCTTCAAAAAATGAGTCAAAGCCGAAAAAACGAAAAGTAGTTGAAGAAAAATCCAATTTTAATAGTTTTTTTGAAATAACCAATGACGACTGTACGGCCTATGGAGATAAGTGCAATGAAAATCAACTTGAAGCTGTGAATTATGACACCGAATCGGCCGAAGTGAAAATACCAAACGAAAACCATTTGAATGCATTTTCAGCAGACGAGCTAATGCAAATGGTTGTTTCAATGGGAAACTTAATTGAAGTATTGTCAAAAGAGTTAATAGCCGCTTCAGAGCAAGTATATTTATATCGAACAAATGCGACCTTATGTACTTCTGAAGCAAAAGTGTCTTCAAATGAGGAAGAAATGTTAACGATATTTGAAAAATACCAGTTACCAATTAAAACAAAAGAAGAAGTGGAAATGTTGGAATCAGATCTCGAAAAGTCCAATGACTTTCTACAATTCTTTGTAAGTGTCATATATGTTATATGAGGAAAGGAGTGCTTTTTTAATTTGCGGCCGATTTTTTTTTATTCTAGATTCGACGCATTGTTCCCATCGTAAAGAATTTATATCAAAGTCATAAATCAATTTTGGAAGGATTCTTTGGGTCATTAATTTCAAAAGAAGTAATTGTACAAGTCAGGTGGTCAGGACGAATGGAAAACACGCAAGCATTTAAGGAGCTCAAGAATGTTCAAATCGTTTTATTAAGTGCCATGATTCGAGTCGACAAAAATTACACATTGTATCAATTTGAAAATGATGTGAAATCTGTTCTCACAAAGTGTGTGAAGGTTTCTAATAATAAAAAGGTACCATAAGTTTTCTATTCAACATATTCTATACTGAATATCTGGAAAAATTATATCTTCTTTCAGAAAAAAATGGTGGGATGTGACGAAAGCGAGAAACATGACATTGTGGAACGTTCAAAATCCGAAAGCTTGTCATCGCATTCACAAGAGCTCAATGAAAACAATGGGAAATCGGCCGATGAAAATACCTTGACAAATGCCAAAAGTTTTTCAATTGATTTTAATGGAAACATCGTAGAAATGACAGAAAAAGATACTGTTCCATAAAGGAATTTTATATAAATTAGTTCATATTTCATTTGTGATCATACACGAAACAGTATTTTGTGTTATTTATATTAAACAAATAAGATTAAAATTGATTATTTTCTCTCAAATATTCTAAATCAAATGAAATCAAAATCCGAAAGAAATTTTAAAATATATATTCCAACAATATGTGCAATAACATATTCAAATCTCAATTTTATTTTTTTTATTGAACAATTTTATAACGTTTCGTATATATATAAACTAAACCATGTGAATCGGCCGAATAAAATATTTGGAAAATTATATTATAATTATAAAAATATTTATTACATATGTGGCATAATGAATTGGCATTTTAATTTCAGAATGTGAAAAGTGATTGTGTGTGTGATTTTTTTTCTCTTCGGCCGATCAAACTGATATATATGCAGTTTTGTATTGATCAATTATTTTATTCAAAGTTTTGTTCCGAGAATATTTCATGGCAAGAGACATTTCCATGACAGCTTTCTGAAATCCTTTCGGTTTTTTATCAGTTATGAAATGGAGCCCTTCCACGAGGTCAAACACCTTGGTTAAAGTACATTTGGCATTATTAGCAGTAATAAATTATACCTACTTTGTCCCAGAGTTGAAAAATTGAACTTCGACAGTCCTTTCTTCAACATTCAAAACAAATGCAGGCCATTCACAGTAACCCCTAACCTTTGCAAAACAAAAGTCGCCAGCTGCCGGTGGTATTTGTTTGATTTTAACAGAAACTATCTTTGATTTTGTTTGTTTTTTGATAAGGATTTTCTGGAAAACAAGTGAAAAAAGTAGAATATCGAGCGTCGATCTTTATATTCAGAAGAGAAATTTTAAAAACCTGTTCATTTGTGGAATTACTGCGGTTTTCTGATTGTAAGCTGGTTTGCTTTGCTACCGCTTCACCGTTAACATTAGTTTCATTGATTTTCTGTGAAAAATATA